GGATCCCCAAGGATTTCACGTGCTCAGTTGAGGATGAGAAGGGCTGATAAAGAGAAGGGCTAGTCATATCCATGCGGGACTTAAAAGATGGCAAGACGAATCCAACGATCGCCACCCCATCCAGGCGAGGGAAGAGATTTGGAATTTGAAAAGGTGTCTGGTGCCAGTCAGGTTCACAGTTGCAGGAAACAGAAACCACTTTGGCTGTTTTAGGTAGAAGAGGATTTGTTACTGGAAATTCAGTGTTTACAACACTGTTGGAAGGGCCCAGAACACCCCTGCAGACCCTCTAGAGAGCTGGTGCCTCTGCCCCATCAGGAAGGCAGGGCTTCAGGAGTGATTGAGGCCGTGGGCGACCCCAGACCACTGCCTCTCTTTGACCCAGAGATGGGGACGCCGCCGCAGCCACTGCCGCCACCACCTCTCCACACTGACGAAAAACCCAACATCTCCCCAGCCAAAGCAGCGGGGAGGCCATGATCTCTGCCTCTCTTCTTCCTTCCAAGTCTAGTGCAAGCACAACTAATTCGCAGGACTGCTTTGTACAGCCAGGACTGCTTGGCCCTGCTTTGAAGTCAAGTGATGGGGGAAGAGCTTGCAGAGTTTGGGGCCCCTACCAGAAGGGGAGGGTGGTGTCTCATGCCCTGGCTGGGAGCGTACTGAGTTGCAGAAAACCAGAACCTGCTCCATGCCACCTCTAAGGCAGGGTTCAAGAGAGTTCTTGGGAGCAAAACATTGATGGTATCTCACAGGTAGTGGGGAGGGCATATACATGAAGACGGAGGGTGGTGCCTGCTTCCAGCCGGGAGAAGCCTGGAGTGGGGAGGCTGGCAGAGCGGGGCAAAGGGAGATGGGGCAGCAGCTGGGTAGGCCATGCTGCTGGCGTTTGGTGGGGCAGGGATAAGTGGGGCATCCCCAAGGTCCCTGTGGCTCAGTGGGGACTGTGCGGGGAGCTGGCCTTGAGCCAGCATTGCCGGTACCCCACTCACCTAACGGGGCTCAGGGCTCCCCGCAGCAGCACCCTGGGTGGGGTGGGCCACAGGGCCAGGAGCTGAGATGGGTGGGGAGGCGTCAGCCCGAGTGCATGTGCTTCTTGCTAAAGGGGTCACGTGCGGGTTCTCCGGGGAGCAGACTTGAGACACTTGTGTGGGGTTGTTTATTAGGGAGTGGCCCAGGAGCAGCACTATGAAAGGGAGGGGAGGAGGCAGGGTGGGCAGAGGGAAGCCGAGCTGTGCTGCAGGCCTAAACCGATCCAAAGGTGCCTGTCAGAGCCGGCCAGGCCCTATGCCCGGGCCGCCATCAGCCATCGGTGGACCTGCCATTGGAAGGATGACAGCTCTCTGTGACTGTCCCTGGGGCTGACAGCAGCTGGGCAACAGGCCCTTCCTTTGGGGGTTGTCTGGGCAGCCATCTCCATGTCCAGCACAGAAGACCTGGGGCAGAGGTCTCTGCGTGGGTGGTGGGCTGGGGCCTGGTTCCAGAGATCCCACCACGGGCCCACACGAGAGCCAGCCTGTCAAGACGAAGGTGTGACGGCCGGTGTTGGCCAAGAGAGCCCCACAGAGAGCAGGACGACTTTGCACTTCCCCCCTCATTCCATCCTCCCTCATCCCGTTCCTGGAGGAGTGAAGACGGGGTCTACAGAGGGGCGAGGGGAGAAGCTGTGAAAGGTCCGAGATCAGAGTTTTCTAATAGATTTGACTGGACTTTTAGATCCCTGGAAGGGAGTTGAACTATCAAAATGAGACTTATTCTTAAAACTAAAAGAAGGCCATGGACTCTTCCTGAGATGGCGGTTCAGGGGTACAGAAAAGGAGCTCTGACATAGTTGATGCGAGGCAGAGATGGGAGAAAAATAAATTTGTACCCTGATAGTCCAAATTCAGCCTGTTTGCTGAATTTGGCCGTCACTGAGGGGCTGCACAGAGCTGGCGATGTCCTTGGTGGGGCACAGGAAGGGGGTGGGCCTGCACTCTTTGCTTATTGCATCCAAGAGGCTTTGGAGCCTGTGTGGTGACCCAGTTTTCTGCCTTGTCTGAGCGACATGTGCTCTGATTATAGGGGTGTGAGGGCTCTAAATGACTGCAAAGTACTTTTCAATCAGACAGAAAATAGGTAAGAAATGCATTTCCATTAATGCCCCAATTATCTTGGTCCCAACAGGACAAAAACCTGTGCTATGCCAGCTCCTAGGGATGTGTCGTCAGGATCCCAACTGTCCTCTCCCAGAGGCAGCTTGCGCTCCGCTCGCACACCTGAGGGGCTAGAGAGGGGTCCTAACGATGGCTGAGGCTCATCCCTCCCTTCAGAGGCCTGGGTGCAAGGCCCAGGAAGGGAGCCCTGTCGGTCCCTCAGAGGCAGGGCCACCGGCCCAGGGTGTCCGTGTGAAGTGGGAACTGCCGCAGCCCGACCAGTCCCTTTTGTTAGACACGCCCTGTGGCAGCTCTGGGGTTTCTCGGCCCCCTTTAACCCAGAGAGCAATTTTGTCTCATAAACCGCTCTTGAATGGGCCCTGCGCAGCAGTCCTGACTGTCTGTTCTCTGTCAGACTCTCATCTCTCATCTCATCTCCAGGGGAGAACCTGTTCCTTGCCTCTACCAGCTTCTGGTGGCTCCGGTAGGTCTTTGGCTGTGGCTGCATCACTCGTCTCTGCCGACGTGGTCACATGGCCTTCTCCTCCTCTGTGCAGTTACGTCTCCTGCTGCCTCCGTTTCTTAAGGGTACATGTGATCTCATTTAGGGTCCACCCAGGTAATCCAGGATAATCTCCCCATTTTTATATCCTTAACTTGATCACATCTGCAAAGACCCTGTTTCCAAATAAAGTGACACATACAGATTCCAGGGTTAGGATCTGTTATCTCTGGGGGCTGTTATTCAGCCTGCTACAGCCTCTCTTCCTCCCTCACATTATGTTCTAAACTGCTGGTAGTTTACGGCACAGACTGTCATTTTTGCCCCCTGCCCTTTGTCCATGCGTGCATCCTCTCTGCTGGAAACTACCCCCCTCACCCCTCATCCCCCGCATTTGCCTCCTAATGCTTACTCTTATTTTGAGCTCAGGTCACCTCCTTCAGGAAGTGTTCCTTGATACCTCTTCTCATCACACACACCCCTGTTCTGTGGTAGCACCTGCGGAATTACAATGGATTTTTTTCTGAATTTGTCTCCCCCACCAGCCTCGAAGCTGCTGAGGGCAGCTACCAGGTTCTAGACATATTTTATCTGAGTATGGATAGATTTTCGAGGAAGGAGGGATGGAAGAAAGGCTCTTGAAGGATAGATTTTGGAATCATTTGGCTTTTAAATTTAATTTAATTTTTGGCTGCAAATTTGTAACAATCTGGCTTAATCTACAATTAAGTGGGTTTAAGGGAGTAGGAGGATGGGTGGTTGGCTCCATCAGAACCTTCTCTGATTAAAATCACAGGAAAGAAAGCTTTGGGAATAGTAATAATAATAATGGCAGCAAAATGGGCTTGCATCTGCATCCACCACCGTTCTCAGCCAGAACCCCACAGACTGGAGCCCGAGGGAGCAGTGTGGGGAGAGCGCAGAGGCGTCCTTCATGAGCACCAGCTGTGTACAAGCGGGTACACAGCTGTCTGGGCGAATGCTCCTAACAGTCCCGTGGAGGTGGAGTAGCTGAGCGTCAGACTGATGCCAAGCCGGTGTCCCAACCTGGGCTGGGTGTCTCCAAAGCCCCGGCCCTCCCCACTGCAAGCAGGCAGGGGGAATAGAGCCCTGGGGAGAGCACACGGGGAGAAGAGTGAAGGGCATTTCCGTGGCATCCAGTCAGACCTGTACCGCAGCCCTGAGGGTCTCCCCCAGTGTGGGCTAGTGCATCCAAACCCGCGCTGTCCTCCCAGCCACAAAGGAGCTGTGGGTTCCTGGGTGCCAGAGCTACAGCCCACTCAACCGCCTCTTGGTCCTGAGGGGGAAACTGAGGTCCATCTGGGGAACAGGAGTGTGGCTGACAGCCTGCTGAGTCTGTGCTCAAGCTGGGTTGAGACAACAGGTGTCCTGCCAGCCAGGGCCTCCTGTGACACCACACTGCCCCTCAGTTGACATTTCCTTTCTGTTCAAGGGGATTACGCAAATCCAAGGTGGTTAAGCTGCCACAGGGCACTATGGAAACGGGGCGCTGTGCTCTGTCTGCCCCTTCCTTCCAGCCAAGCAACAATGACACTGAAGCCAACTTTTCTGGCCAGACTTGTTAGGCTGAATCGCAGAGCATGTGTACAATTTAATTTGAACCTGGGCGGGCAGAGGGGAGAAGCCAGATTGATTACCAGAACAAATTTCAGAGCCAAGTCAGAAGTCCTGCCCCAAATACTGGGCCAGCTGCAGCGTGGGGGTGTGTTACAGATCTGTGTGTGTCAAAATGTCTATTGAAAAAATGTGATCTGCCCACTTGAGATAATTTACATAGTGCCTGACTCTGCAGCTTCTACGCATTTCTTATAAACCAGTTTTTTATTTCTATTTTTATTTTAATTGATTCATTAATTAACCTGAATAAGCAACAGCATGGACAACTGACCCTTGAACAACACAGGCTTGATTTGCGAGGGTCCACTTCTATGTGGATTTTTTTCACTAAATCCGTTCAGTACTACGACACCCAAGGTTGAATCCGTGGATGCGGAACCATGGATACGGAGGGTCACTGTGAAGTTATACGTGGATTTGCACTGCATGCAGGGTGGGCGCCCCTAACCCCGGCGTTGTTCAAGGGTCAGCTGTACATGGCACCCTATTCTGAAGGTGGAAAAGGTAAAAAATCTTCTTTCTGCCTGTTACCCAGTCACTGAGTTTCTCTCCCTGGAGGGAATGCTCCCATTTGGGGTATGTCTTTCCATATAGTCAGTGCATCCACATTTATGTACACATATCCTGTCCTTTTCTACAGCAGTTCATGACTGTACTCTGCACTGTCTTGCCTGTCCCGCCCCCCAACCCCCGTTTATCACTTAGCAATACATCTTGGCTTGTTTCAGGGCTAACATTCCATTATCTGGATGGGCTGTAATTTCCTTGGCTAGCGCCCTGTTGATGGACATTTAGGTTCCAATCTTCTTCCGTTACTCGCCGTGCCTCAGTGAGTATATATCTCTGCCTACTCCCACCCCCATGAGAGCCTATCTCCGCTGCGCTGTCCGATACAGTAGCCACCAGCCACATGCCATACTTACATTTCAGTGAATTTGAACTAGATAAAACCGAACTGCCAATTCCTCAGTCATGGTCCTGCTCGCCACATCGCAAGTGCTGGAGAGTCCCACGGGGCTGGTGGCTGCTGTGCTGACCGTGCAGCTCCAGGGCACGTCCATGAGCAGGGACAGCGCTGCTCCATGTGGGAAATTCCTAGAAGGGAACTGTGAAGGTCTGTACATCGCAAGTGGTGAATGATATTGCCAGATCTCCCTCTGAAGAGGCTCTAGCTATTTACATTTGAGAGCACTTTTATTTCAGAACAATTTATGGAATATTGGGAAAAAAAAGAAAGGTTCCCCGTGTACCAACTGCAAGGACGTTCTGTTTCCGTTGTCAATGCCACGTTGCTGGAGTTGGACGCTGCTGTTCCCGCCTGTCACTGGAGCCCCACTCTGGCTGTCTCCCCCTGAGGCCTGGCCTCCGGCTGCCTTGCTGAGGCCTCTTCCCTCCCCCCTCCTTCAGGTCCAGGGTCCTCCACACCCCGACTCACAGCTGCCATGTCTCAAGGGAGACAGCCCGTCTCCTCATCCACCCCTGTTGCCATGACACAGCCTCTACGGAAGACTAGGCATCCTGACTCTTCCACCCTCCTTCCCTTCGGTGAACGGGGACCTCCACATTGCCAAATCCATGGCCATTGCCCAGTCCTCACCTTGCTTGACCTGCCAGCTGGTCGGTCTCTCAGCCGCACCGTGCACCCCAACTGTTCCCTTCTTCTGAAGTGCTCGGCCCTTTGGCTTCTGAGACGCCACACCTGCTGTCTCTCTGATTGCTGCACCCCTGCCTCTTTGCAGCCTTGCCCTCCTTGCAGCATTTAACACTGGGTCGTCTTATTTTCCTCATTCTCTGCTTTTTTTCTGGGAGAGCTCATCCCCACTGTGGCTTGGATTAGCATCATTTAGGGAGTGATGGTCATCCTTTTTTTTTTTTTGCTTTTTTTTTTTGCGGTACGCGGGCCTCTCACTGTTGCGGCCTCTCCCGTTGTGGAGCACAGGCTCCGGACGCAGAGGCTCAGCGGCCATGGCTCACGGGCCCAGCTGCTCCGCGGCATGTGGGATCTTCCCGGACCGGGGCACGAACCCATGTCCCCTGAATTGGCAGGCGACTCCCAACCACTGCGCCACCAGGGAAGCCCATGGTCATGCATTTTAATTCCCATTTCCTTGATTACTTGTAAGAAGGGTCATCTTTTCATGGCTTCCGGCCATCTGTATTCTTTATGAAAGCAGCTTAGAAGCAGAGCAGACACTGGACACAGGTTACAGTCCAGACCACAGCCATGGCAGGTCCCTGTCCTTGCCCCCTCCAGGCCCTCCCCAGCCTCATCTCTCTCCACATCCTCTCAGCATATGCAAAGTCACCACGCCGGACACCCCCAACCCAGCCCACAGCCTGCATTCTTCTCCAGGACTCTCATCACCCCACTCCTTCTTCTGTGGTCCCCAGAGCTTGATTCCACTGAGAAGAGACAGTCTCTCATCACCACACTCCTCCCCATTCCTCCCCAACTCTGCACATCTCACCCCAGTGCCCAGGGATGCGGGTCAGCATGTGGCCAGTGCCTCATCTCCCTTCTGGGACATCGTTCTGCTACCTCCTCCCAACAGTCCTTCTCTTTTGAAGTTCGTGCTGTTACTCCCCTCTTCCTAAACCCATATACTGCTTCCTGTACTCTGGCCGCTCTGTGTTGTTTCGGGACTTTGATTCTCCCAGACTTTTCTGTCCCCTGCCCTGATGTCCACTTTGGGATTTCAGCATCAAGATTGACAGCTTTCTTTGTCCACATCTCATAGTTTCTTGACTTAAACCTCAGTGACTCTTTCTACTCTATTTTAGATGCCTACACACCTACCTTCATCGTCTGCAAATGAGCTTGACTGCAGCCTTCTACACGCCCACCTCCCTTTCTCCATCACATCTTGTGTGGCCACACGTTTTTTGCCTCCTTCCTTTTCTCCCAATCCTTTGGTAAGACTTTACCCCCATTCGTCTTCCTATCATGACCCACCACACCAACTAAGCCATATCCGGTAACCTGGGGCAATGCTGCTTTGCCAGTTTCCAATCCTAAAGATACTTGGTGATCCTGCTGGGATGAACTGAGGGGATCATCCTTTCACTCAAACACCAATAACATTCATGCCTCGTATGGAACTTCCTTCTGACTAATTCAGCCATGTGCCTGTCCCACTTTCTTGGTCTGTGAGCTCCAGGACAGGAATGACAGTGCCATATCTGTTCTCCCTGTGCTCAGCCTGTGTTTGTGCAATAGCCCATGTTTGTTCACTTTGGTTAAATAGACTTTTCTGCTTTGGTAGTGACCACTCCATCACTGTGGGCTGATAATACTCAGATTTAAAAAGCAATGTGTCTATCCAGGGTAGGAAAAAATGACTAGAAAGAAAGAATAAAGGAGTCCGGGGGAAGGCATATATGCATTAAATGCCTTTTAATTTAATATGCATTAAAAAAATGGACATATGAGAGTCAGGTTGCAGGCAGAGGCAATTGCAAAATGGTTTCTCCTAAACTGCTGAGTTATATTCTGCCAGCATCCAGGTACTCTACTGTTAAACAGGTTTATTTTGGTGGTGAAGGTACAGCTTGGTGTCGGGTGATGACCTTGGCCAAAAGAACGGAAAACATTGCATCTATGCTGAAAGGAGAGAAATTATATTTGCCTTTTTGCCTGCAGACGAAAGAAGAGAGGGGAGAGGGGAGGAGAGGCTTTCCTTATGCAGCTAGTCCTGGGCCACCAGCTTTGTGCTTTGATGTACTCATAGCAATAACGCAAGGCCCTGCTGCCAGGAAACAAGGAAGTGTGTTGTCACACAAGTTGATGCCAACACTCTGCTTGTGCAAATACTCAGGACCCAGTGCCAGGCTCTGCATCTTCTCTGCCAGGGGGAAGTGCAAGCACACGGTCACCTGTGTCTCAGGACCGAGAGGCTGGCTTCGGAGAAGGGCTTGTGGCAGCAGGGGAAAGGGCAGCCTGGCATTTAGATGAACGATAACTGCCTTAAGTGGTCAGTGAAGGTCCTCCCCTGAGGAGGGGCCGGTCTCTGAGGCCAAGACCCCACGATTAAGAGGTGATAGAACCTAAGAGAGCACAAGTTCACTGGCCTCTTAGAGCCTGGACGCAGCAGGGCACTGAGGCTCCCAGCAGCAAAGCTGTGTGCGTTCCCCCTGGGCGCCCTGTCGACGGTGCTCCCCCCACCTGGCTCCCGGCGGTGGTGCCAGGCTTCCATGTCTGGCCCTAAGACCATTGATCCTTTAGGGTCCCCTGTGTCCTGTCTACTTGTAGGCCCTCTCAGGCAGTACCTTCCTTTTTGATGCTCTTTTGGGAATAAAATAACTCTTTCTAAAACCACAGCGTATGGAAGATTTCACTTATGGAATGATGGAGACCGCCTGTGCTTCCTCTTCTCCACGTGCCCCTCCAGATCCGTTCTGCTGCCTGCGAGGCTGGCCCTCCAGGGACGGCACCACCCTGCTCCCCTGCTCTGGTTCTTGTTGGGCTCAGCCACTGGGCACGTCAGGTAGCCAGAGGCTGGAGCCATCAGTGTGTTTCTGTCCTCTCCCTCTGCGGGCCACGGCTTTGGCAGAGGCTGCATCCCTGTGACTAGAGCGCCGCCAGGTTCTGGGGGCTTGTCCCTCCCCGGCTCCTGCTAGTCCTTGAGTGCTGCAGCCTCTTTATCCCCTGACCCTGCCCACGCCTCTCTAAAGGACTTTCTTTAAGCTTCTCTTTTGAACCGCCTGTTTCTTGCTCTGTTAAACTAATTGCTCCAGGCCCTCTGTCCACCCGAATAAAGGCCAAACCATATCACATCACAGAGCGGTTTCTCATGAGCCCCATGTTTTTTACACAACGTGTTTATATATACTTTTAAAGTGTAACTCCTTCCGTCGGTGGTTTCGACACAAGAAGCCTCCAGTTGGGTTCCTTTAGTCATTGGTCACAAGTTAACCTTCATAGGTCCTGCTAAGGATGGAAGAGAAGGCAGTAGAGAGACATTTTCCTTCTAAATTCACATTCAGGTCTTGGTCCTTTCCCCTTCTCTAACCTTTGTAACGCAGCGGCTTCCCTACATAAGAGGGCATTTGTGCATTTACTACACGGGGTTCAGGCAAATCGCAATGCTTGGCTGGCTGTGCAGGCGTGGAGCCCCTCGGTGGTCGGCAGGCCCTTCCTGCAGACTCCCCTCCGACAGACATGCACCTTTTCATCTCCTGGTAATGCTCTCACCCTTGGTCCTCTGTCCAAGGAAGAGGGGGGTCTCTCCTGCTGGGTCCCCAGAGGCCCCACCTTTGGCTTCTGTGTGGCATCCAGGGACCCCAGAGTCCCGACTGAGCAGTCAGTGCTGCCTGGGAGCCTGGCTGAGCCTGCTGTGTCAGCACCACCTGGACTCGCTTTCCTGCATGTCTCAATTTGGGCTCTGCTCTCGCCCATCCCTCCACCTCCCCTAATTTCTAGAGAACCCTGTTTTATACCACTCTACCCTCCCTCCTTTAGGGTCATGCAGTCTCGGGTGCTGGGGTTGCTGACTCCCAGGGAGTGTGTAACGCAGTCTTGACTGTGGGGAATCTCTGATGGTTCCAGGACCACTCTCCCGCACTGTCAGGGCTAACTAACTTTAGAAACACCTGCTAACAGTGAAACCTGCTATCAGAAAACTCCAGAGGTAGGAGGCACAAAGCTCTCAATTTGGGGCCAAATTACAAGTTGGTAAGAAAAGTTGCTAATGAGCTCTGGAACCCTTAGTTAAGGGGCTAAAAAGGAAATATGTGAAATCTAAGAAGAAGGTGCCTGGTACTTAGCGGCCCACATTTACATCTTAATCCTTCCATTGAGGGTCTCACCTCAATTCACAATCTCGTTTTCAGGAGGAAGTGGGGGGTTACTGTTTGCAACGCTGGAAGCAAAAAACCCACAAATTACTACAGATGGTGGAGATATTTTTATTTTTTCAGAGCAGCTGCAGCATTTACTGGTTGGTGTCTGGGCCACAGCTGCTCCTGTAGCTCCCTTCCTGTCCAGGAGAGGCACTTCTGGGCATACTGGTCTCCAGTCGAAGAAACAAGCAAAGGCCATCCCATAAAGAGGCAGAGCTCTCCCTTACTGTCTGAAGGGTCTCTAACAAGCCCTCCCTGGAGAGAGCTGTGACAGTGTGCTTTCCATGACGTCCAGCTGGAGGTGGGACTTGAGGTCAGGTTCAGGTGCAGGTTTCCTGCCCCTCACAGCCTCCGAGCCTTCCTGGGGCGGCAGCCGTTGTGCGGGATGGGGGTGTTGTCTGTGATTGAGATCACTTCCAGGCCCCCCATGGTCAGTCCCTTGATGGCAGACTGGAAAGAGAAGGAATAGCAGGATGGCACAGTCCCAGAAACGATGCCCCAGTGTGTCCAGACAGGGCTCGGAACCGGTAGGGGGTGAGGGGGGCGCAGCGTAGGGATGAGAAAGCTCACTGGCTCTGATATCTACAGTCCCAACCTGATGCTCTCACAGAGCTCTCCCTACCAACCCCTTCACCAAGCCCTCAACGTCGCCCACATCTCCAATCCCACCTGCCACATCCCACCTTGTGCTTTACAGTCTAAGAACAAAGACTGTTGTAAATCTCAACGCATCTTAAGCATTATGCTTTTGTAGTTTCCTCTGCCTGGAATGATCCCCCCTCCCCCAATCCCATACGCATACCTGGTTAGTCCCTCGTCATTCTCAAAAAATCAGTAGAGATGTCACCTCTTTGGGGACGCTTTCCTGATCACACCCAACAGGCTCCCAGCACCCTGGGCACAAGCTTTACCACTGCACTCACTAGTCTGTACTGAGGGACCCATTTGTGACAGTCCCCCAGGGGCCACCTTTCTGTTCCCAGTGCCTGGCACACAGCAGGCACTCTGTAAGTGTCTGATGAATTGAAACTAAGTGATCAGGGCTTGCTTTGAGAAGCCTAGGAGATTAGAGGCAATGGAAAGAAACTTCAAGCCGTTAGGAGAATCCACTACAGGGTCCACTCTCCCTCCTCTGCTCTCACTCCCGTTTCTCTCACTAACTGAAGAAGCAAGCACACATGCTGGGCTGCGAAGAAGCGAGGTCACTTACCAAGCGCCCTGGCCCCAGGCCTTTAACCACAACTCGGACGTGGGTCACACCCTTCCCCGTAGCTTTCTGGAGAGGAGCAGCAAGTGGTTAGTGCTCTGAGAGAGAAGTGCGACATCCAAACCCCTTGCTACTGCCACCTGGAGCAACAGGGTTATGAGCTCCATGGAACAAGCACCCACATATGTAAACAGGCAGAAGACAGGGAAGGAAGCAAAGAGCAGATGGCCGAGGTGCAGGACAGACACCAGCAGTCAGCTGGGATCTCTTTCCGCCCAGGACAGCACTGCCACCTAGTGGAGACTTCTAAATATTGCTCAGATTTTTCCCAGGTGGATAAAGGCAGAATTTCAGAACATAAGGTGCCCTGGACTCCAAGGCTAAGCCTCAGTACCCTCTTAGAAAGTGTCATCTTATCATTTTAATCTTTAGTTACAGTTAAAATTTTCTTTCTTGTTTATAAAGGCAGTTTACTGCAGAAAATCTGGAAAACACACAGGTCACTCAATCCACCATGCAGAAGCCACCGTTAACACTGACATATTTATTTTAAGTGTATAAACCTGCCCACTGGTGGCCATTTAGTGTGTTTTGATGATCACTGATACATAGCAATCAGTATTTTGGGGCATCGAGCTTTGTCTGAAGGTCAAGGTTTTCCTTCCAGAGATACTCCCGGTTTGGCAGTGAGCCCTGTGTTGTAGCAGACAGTGCCCAGGCTCTGGTCCCAGACCTGGCAGGGTCAGTTCAGAGAACTGGACTGGCTGCATGGCTCTGAGCAAGCCACACACTCTGAATCCCAAATGACTCTTAAAAACATGGGTAATACCAAGGGTATTCTGAGGATTCAAGATAATGAATGTAAAGTGTCTGGCGTATAGTAGATACTGAATAAATACACCAACTGCAGTTCACTGCCACCTTGCTTCTAGAAAGGTCTGCAACAGTTCACGCTCCCTCTGATACTGCAGGAGAGTCCTCACATGCCACACCTTCTCCAGATGGACCATTACCACAACCACACCCCACCCACCGCACTGGTCTTTAAATCCAGGAGGCTTTGCTGAGCCTTCAGCACCTGGCTCCTGCCTCTTCTAGAATGAACCGAGTGTTTCACTTCTACTGAAGCTGAGAGAAAGAGAAAAGAGAAGCGTTTTCACACACCTCTTCAAACCACCCCCCATGTTAGGGTAGCCAATAAGAGTTGGCCAATACTCTTGCTTCTGAAGAGCCGCCTCAAGGACAATTTTCCTGCCAGTGATCAGCCATGCAAAAAGTGGAGCCCAGCACAGAGGGAGCCGGAAAGAACACACACTTACCGCCGCGGCAGCTATGCCCGCTGTTTGCGCTGCAATGCCTGTGCCCTTCTTGGCATTCTGAAACCCCTCCGTGCCACAGGAAGCGCGGGCAAGGGGCTGGTGAGCAGCAGAGACTACCTGGATCTGTGTGCTGGGAAAGGAGGGGAGGTGTACAGAATATAATGGCTCTTCAAGGGAGTAAGAGAGCGCTAACCCATGCCCAGACAAGCCCGAGTGTGAAAGAAAAAGACCGTTAGCTGCTTTCAGTCTGAGCTTATCCTGTAGGAGGTGCCAGGAAAGGTCAGAATCAACCCCTAAACCTCATTAAAAACTGACAAGTCATGTAATCTAAAGAGAGCCGTTATGCATGGAAGGTTTGGGCTCTGCCCCCTAAATTCATGTTGAAATTCTAACCCCTAATGTGAAGGTATTGGGGGGTGGGGCCATTGGGAGATGATTAGGTCATGAGGGTGAAGCCCTTATAAACTGGATTAGTGCCTTATAAAAGGGACCCCAGAGAGCTCCCTTGCCTCTTCCAGCATGTGAGGACACAACGAGAAGCCAGCCATCTGCAACTTGGAAGAGCTGTCACTAGAACCCGATCCTGCTGGCACACTGATCTCTGACTTCCAGCCTCAGAACTGTGAGAAATAAATGCCGTTTAAGCCACCCAGTTTGTGGTATTTTGTTATAGTGGCCTGAGCTGACTAACAGAAGCTCCATAATCTGAGGGTGCTAAGTGTCATCCAGAGGAAAGGTGGCATATTTTCCTCCTAGTATCTTCCCTGTAGCCAGTGTTTAATTAGATTCAGGGTCCTTTCTGGCTTCTTCTTTTTTTTTTCCTAAGAAATTAGATTTTCACATCAGGTAATTTTTAATGACTTTTCATTGGTAAAGTTTCAAATATACACAAAAGTGGATAGAATAATGTCTGAACTCCCATGGACTCACCATTCAGCTTCAACAATTACTAACTCATATCCAATTTGGTTTCACCTATAAACCCTGTTTCTACACCCCTCTATCCCCTAACTAATGGATTATTTTGAAGCAAATCTTAGACCCATCATTTCATCTGTAAATATTTCAGTATATATCTCTAAAAGATAAGGACTCTTTAACAAGTTAAATTAAAACTAAGAATAACTTCAAGAAATCCTTAGATATGCTTTCCATTTCCCTCTTGATCACTGCCCAGTTTCCTGGTCTGAAGAGCTCCCTGAGAACTCACCACAGAGGGAAGTAGAGAGTGGTTATGGGGAGACCTGCTGGAGCTGGCCCTGGGCTCAGGCCACCTGCTGTTGGCCTGGCTACGGCTGCCATTTCCCTACCACGGCTTCTTGGGTTTTCTACACTGAACAGAGTAGAAATAGACAAGAGAATGGCTTGTCCCTGAGACAACCTCAATAGAAATCTACAGAGTGGGCCACAGACCCTTAAAAAAGCAAACAAACAAAGAGAGCTTACCTATGTCCTTAGCAACCTGAGAAGAGAGGAAAATCCAGGGGCTCTCATTCTGAGCTTACCAGATGAAAGCTGAAATGCATCCTATGGCACCTCGCCTGTGCTCACCCTCTAGCCCTGACTACCAACAGTCTCTTGTATTGTTCTCTAAATTGCTTCATAGGCGACTGCTGACCAAATACCAATCCCATCTCCAAGTGGGGGCTGGTGTGCAAAGATGTTACTGATGTCAGCAAGGTTTCTGTTGCCAACACACAGTTGGGAACTTACCCAGCACTGTCTGAAAGCCACACAGAACGCTAGTCTTCCAACCTTGTGCAGCCCTACAAAGGCAGAGGTCGGTGCACGGTGGCCCAAAGCGAGTACTTTAAAGCGACCCTTATTTGGTGGTTTCCATTTTGCTTAGTTAGTAAATCATATATTCTGAGATAATTTCTCTCATTTATTAATCACCCATCCCCAGTACTAACACTTAACAAATACTTTCACAGAGGGACTTTCTGGCCCTAAAATATACTCTTCTCCAACTCTTGAGCAGAACCAGGAAATACAATTCCCAAGGACAGCAATGAAATCTTATGAATGGGATATGCCTAACTTAGTTCACATTTTCATGAAATCTGAATAAACTATATAAAGAGAGAGGTGGTCTCCCCAAACCAGGAGGGAGCCTGGGGGAACCTCTGCATCAGCATCTGCGTGCAGAACGTGGCAGCCTGACTTGTCCGCTCCCTCTGAAGGGGAAAGAAGCCCACTCTAGCCCTACCAGATGCTCCCTTCCCTGCTTACTTGTTGTACGATGCTTTGATGTGTGCGATTGGGATCTCCTCAAATTTCTTTCCTGCCCACCTCAGAGAACTCTCTTGTCCTGGAATTGGAGGGTAAATGCTGCAATTAGAAGAAAAATTTTAGGTAAAGTTGTCCTGATTTTTTTTTTAATTAAAAAAAAATTACAAGGTTTAAAAA